AAAAAAAAAAAAAAAAAAAAAAAAAAAGGGGGGCAAAAAAAAAAAAAAAAAAAACACAAAGAGGATGCAAATAAACTAAAAAAGTAACTCAGACACAGAACTTGGGTTTCTAGAATCACCCGCAGAGAATCCAAATATAATCAACTTAAAAGTAATCAGACCTCAGAAAAAGCTAGCTTTGATAACAAAGCAAAAACAGGAAATAAAACTTCCCTGCAAGTGTTTCTAAAATTGAAACAAGTTTGCAATGCTCCTGAGCTGCAAAGATGACCAATTTTCAGTACAGTTTCACAAGAACACTCACCTTCTGTTCCAACCATTAAAATGGATCAGATATTCTGGGATCTTTCTGCCTTTTTCGTCTTTTCCAACAATAACATCGACAATCTGAAACCAGGAAATATTGCACACAAATGATAGACCATACAGAAAACCAGAAGTTAGATCAGTAAAACTACATCAAATCTTTTTTAAAAGAAAAGAAAGCATTCTCTCTTTTTTCAGACCAAGAGCTGGGTTGAAAAATTTTTCCTTTTAATACCATTTTTTTTTTCCTGAGTGGACGCCTCAAAATAGGAAACATCCGTCCAACCTCCCCGGGATTGGTCTCTGAGCGTGAGACAGGGTGATGCTTCTGAAGTCACTGGCTGGCCATTTGTCACTAACCACAGAGAGACAAGAGCTGCAGCCCTGAGACCTCTGGGAGTTGTAGTCTCCTGGGCTCCGAGTCCAGTACCAGGAAGGCTGTCAGGAGCCTCTGGCTCCCCTCCCTGCGGTGTCCCCAGAGGGAACATAGAAGGCAAATGACGGGGCGTGTACCCCCCCCCCCGGAAAAACTCAGAGGCGGAGAGAGAAGGGATAGCAGAGGGGGTTAGAAAATTGAGACAAGGGCTGCAGGGGAGGGCACCGAAGGTAGAACAGGCAACAGCCCAGAGACCGTGGGCTGTCCCCAAAGGACAGCGCCGCCCCAACACTGTCGAAGACGCACCTGGGGGCCGCCCCTGTCCCTGCGGCCAAAGGCTTCGCCCAGGTGGTCCTAGGAACCGGGACGCTGAAATGCACTTTCCTTAGGGCTCCGGGAGGACTTCGGTCCCACTCCTGCCCGCCACCCAGATCTGAGAAGCTGCACGATGTGGCTCGGTCCCCCAAGACTTAGGTGGACCGGCCCGGGGCGCGATTCTGCTCACACATGGTCAGACCCACACAAATCCTTCACAGGGACTGAAAACGTAAATGCTACAAAGCCCTGACGACCGAAGTCACCGGGCCAACATTGCCCTCGGGGTGGGGGTCACGACCTAGGGAAGGGATCGGGCCTAGATTCGACTGGGGTGCCAGGGCAACGACATCGCGAGTCGGCGGCCAGCGCCGTGGAGCTACGGATAAGGACCTGGGTCAGGCGGCCAGCGAGCCCACACGGCGCTGGGCAGCACCGGAAGAGGAGAGATCTAAGGCGAAGGTAGAAGCGGTTGGCTAGCGGCCTCCTCCGCGCACCGCCCGCGCCGGCCTCCCGCGCGCACACCACCGGCCCCACCTCGTTACCCAGCACGCGCGGTGGCAACACGCGCGAGGCTCCCGATCGCGCGTGCGCGACCAGGCAGTCCGGGCGGAAGCGGAAGCGCCCCAGCCCCGCCTCCCGCGCGGCG